CTGGCTCGTCTCCTCCCCGAGACCCCTCTGGGCTTTGGGTCTCCACTCCGCACCCCACCCACCTCATTCGCTATGGTAAGATTTTTGGTTCTCAGTCCTCTTTTATGAGTATAATTTGACACCATTTCATTCACTTGTCTGACAGCGCTCTTCTCATTTTACTTTAATGGCGTATTTAATGCTTTCAGTAAATGTTCAGTAATAAACGAGTGATTTGATTATGATACATCTTTTATTTTTCAGAATTGCTTCAGTTGTACATAAAAACTTGGATACCTATAAACCGCAGGAGTTGTTGAAGATAACTCGAGCACTGATTTTCCTGCATTTTCAAAGTAAAGACATTTTTGTGAAACTCAGAGAATTACTGCTTAGGTAAGATTACAAGTATTTGTTTTGTTTTTCATTTTGTAATCTAACCAGGGACCTTGTGGAGACAGTGCCAGCTAGCTCACTATTAAACATATGACACTTTGATTATCCCTTCTCTCGCTTTTAAACCTGAAGATTCTTTAAAAGCTCCGAGTTTGGGGTTTGCTCTGTAACTGGCAGTCAGATTTAGCAAGAGTTTGACAAAGGAGTAGAGAGTGGGATGAGTTGCACATCCAGATGTGTCCGTTTGTTTTCGGGTTGGACTGCCTCTGTAGCAGAACTTAGATGGGAACCAGAAGTATTGGTGATGACTGTGTGCCAGGCCCGGTAGCAGGTCATACCATCTCCTGGTGCCACATCAGAACCTCAGCCCAAATTCTGCCAAACTAGTTCCTTGTGTTATTCAGGAATTGAAGTTTTATCTTCCCGTTAAAAATATGTGGGGTGTGCTTCAGAGCCTTGGCCGTTCCCTTCATGATACACGTGGGCCTCTTCTCTGGCCTGGGACCGCCCTTACACTGATGTGCCTGCCCTCTCCCTATTAATATCCGAGCGACGCCCAGCTTGCTGCCTTGGGCGCCTGGGGCGTTGCTCTTGAGGACGCAGTGTTCATTTCGTGCTCTTCACTTGCCTCCCCCGCCAGCGGCTTGAAGACGAGCGTCGTGCCGCGGGAGATGGCGCTGCTGGCCTATGCGCTCTCCAAGCTCCCGTGGCCCCACCTCGACGACGCAGGGACGGCCCGCGTCCAGGCCGTTTTACCACAGTGCGACCTCAGTGACCTCAGTAGTATCGCCACCTGCGTTTCAAGATGGATCCAGTGTGAGCCCCGCACGCACCTGAGCAGCGTGACTGGGACACAGCTGAGCCTGCTCCACCAGTTAGCTCATCATGGCCGCCAGAGGCTGCGGGCAAGCAGCAGCCTGGACCAGCTGTGGGAGGAACTGAAATCTCTCAAAGGAGACTGGCTCGCCGAGTCCCTTCTGGAGGACACCATGGCGACCCTTCAGCAGCTGGCCGGGGAGATTAACGTCACCAATGTCGTGAGCATCGCATCGTTCATTTCCAGGACGCGCTACCTCAGCACTGCGCTCCTCGACAGGATAGCCGCGGTGGTCCTGCAACAGATCGAAAAGGTAAACCGAAACGCGCCACCCGCGCTTGCTCTGGCTGTCAGCTTCGGAAACAGATATTTTAGCATCAGTACTTTGAAAACTTCAAGCGGAACCTGGTGTTCTTACATTGCTTTGGCCATTTGTGGCTCCTCGTCTTTACACTGGCCCCAACAGCCACTTTCTTTTCCCCAGCATTGCCAGTAAGGGAAGATTGGAAATCATCCTCTCATTTATTAGAATATTGTTAAAGATCAATGCTTAAAATTCATTGACTAGAAGGAAATGCGTGCAAATAATAGTAGTTGTATTAGGATAGTGGAGTATAAATTACTTTGTTTTTCCTTTTTCTATAATCCTGTTACACTTCTTTTACTGTTTAAAAGCAATTGTACCAAAAGTGCAAGGTAAATATGAAAACTGAGAAAATGTTAAGTTGCCACTGACTTTAGGATTCTCAATTTGCTGGTGTTCATTTTGGAACTTATGGTATTTTAAAAATGCCATTCACAAAATTCCTAGTGCATACATCAGATTTTGTTAGTTGTAGGACAGTGTCTTTTCTCAACTGAAAATGAAAAGCCTGTCATGCATGCTTAGCATTGTTCCTGGCAGCCAGGATGTATTTGGTGAGTGAGTGAGTATTGAAATGGAATGAATGATGAAGGGGAAAAAAGGATGATAATAAATTAAGATACAGAAATGTCCTAGATGTTAGGTTGATCCTTTGAGAGCACCAAATATCATGGAAATCGGTGTCATTGTTTCCTGTTCATTTCAACGACTGATGAATTCTGGACTGGATTTTAGACCTAATAAATTAGGTTGTATAATGTCTGATTTTTTTCCCCCTCTGCATTAATACTTTTAGTATGTGTTCTATAAAAGCTCGATTTGTGTTAATACTTGTAGAGTTATTACTGATTTGTAGTGCAGTTAAGTAGATTGTGAAACTAAACCCCTTGAGTCAGTTCGAACGCGTACTGACCCTCCATAGGCCTCCCAGGCGTCACAGCGCAGAAAGCCTCCTCTTTCTCCTGTGGAGCAGCCGGTGGGTTGGACCACTGACCTTGCAGTGAGCAGCCTGACACAACCCAGAATGCTGCAGGACCTCCTTATATTTAACTTTAAGTGTGCTAAAAAAAAAAAAAGAAGAAATATCTAAAGTACTAATTAAGTTTAAAATTGTTTTACTGGTTTCAACTATAACAATTTTCTTCTGTTCATACAGATCCATCCTCTTTCAATCCTTGCTATTATCCTCCCATTCAGCATCTTGAACTATGATCCACCTCAAAGGGATGAATTCTTGGGAACTTGCATTCAGCGTCTTAATTCTTACCTAAGTAGGTATATTGTTTCATAACATATTGAATGAGTAATGTCAAAGGAGACTCGCTAATGGGCTAATTGAACTCTTACAAGGTAGTCATAGTCGTATGACTACACCTAAAAAAGTAAACGTTTCTATCCCTATTTTAGAAAATGTCAAACTTACAGAACATTGGAAAGAATATGGCAAGGGACACCTTTGTACTCAGTGTGAGGTTCAGTAGTTATTAACACGTTGTTGTCTTTGCTCTATTCATTTCTTTCTTGTCCCCTGATTATTTTCCTGAGCCATTTCAATGTAACTTGTAGGCTAAGGTGACCAGACGTCCCGCTTTTGGTGGGACAGTCCCAATTTTTAATAATTTTTCCCCCATCCCACAGTGTTTTAAAAAAGTCCCAATTTTTGGAAAGAGTGCACGACAAGCTATGGTATACAGTTTTCGGCTGACATGTGGCTAGTTCGCCAGGATATGAGTTTTATCAATGGTGTCCCGCTTTTGTCCCGCTTTACCAATGTTAAAATCTGGTCACATTATTGTAGGCATTATGACCTTCTGCCCAAATTAATGTATGAACCCTAAGAATAATGGTGTTCCTCAATAATACTGTTTTCATACTTAAATAAAATGAACAATTCTCTTAACATCTGACACGCAGACCTTATTTAGATCTCCCTAATTATCCCCAAAGTACCTGTTAGAGGGTCTTTGGTTTGTTTATTTTTTTTAAACCTCGACCTCCTCTGGGTCCATCCATTGTGTTTGGTGGTATTGTGACCGCGTTGCTGTTGTCAGGTGTTCTGACTCACAGCCCTCCGTGTACAACGGAAGGAAATGCTGCTGCTGCTGTGCCGTCCCCACAGTCTTTGAACTCATGGTTGTAGCCGCCCGTCTTAGGAGTTTTTTACACCCCCGTATTCTTGTCTCTGGTGTCACAATGGTTAAGCACTTGAGGGCGAATGTCAAGGTCCGGTGTCGGATGCACCAGTAGTTCCACAGGAGAAGAGTTCAGGGGATCTGCTCCTTTAGGATAGATGACAGCCCAGGAAACCGGAAGGGGCAGTCCTGCCCTATGGACTCAGCACCAGCAATAAGGAGTTCTATTTAGATATAATGTCTTCCCTTCCACTCCCTTCCTCTCACACACACCTTTTCGTTATCAAATACACAGACAATTTAAAGAACGGCATAACAAACATGCCGCCCTGGGGGCGTAGTGGTTATGTCTTGGTCTGCTAACCAAAGGGTCAGCAGTTTGAAACCACTAGCTGCTCCTCAGGAAAAATAATGGGCTTTCTACTCTCCCCCCACCCCCACTGCCCCTCAAAAACAGTGATTCTCAATCTTCCTAATGCCGTGACCCTTTCGTACAGTCCCTCATGTTGTGGTGACCCCCAACCATGAAATCATTTTCGTTGCTACGTCATCACTGTTCATTTTGCTACTGCTATGAATTGGATGACCCTCGTGAAAGGGTCGTTTGACCCCCCAAGGGCGTTGCGACCCACAGGTTGAGAACCACTGCTCTAAAGTTACAGCCTTGGAAACTCACAGGGGTAGTTCTACCCTGTCCTATTCGGGGGGGTTCTGAGCCGGCATCAACTCAGTGTCCATAACTTTGAATTTTACCGGCATTGCTGACCTTAGATAGCAGAAGCAGGAAATGGCTCTCCTCTCCCTCTCTCTCCCTTTTTACCCTTTCAGTCCTCAGTTGTGCTTGCGACAGGTTGGCTTTTCAAAAGCAGGCCTTTTCTTCAGATCCACACAGCTTGTTTGTCGTTCTGAGGAAGTTTCATGTCATCCAACATTAACCAAGTGTTGATTGTGTGCTTACTGTGTATCAAACACTGGAGATCTAAACTCAAACCAAACTCAGGGTCACTAGGCCCATGCTGACTCGTAGGCACCCCGCACTGCAGCTGTCAGTGAGAGTAAGAACAGATGGACCCCACCCTCAGGGAGTGCGGGGAGAACACCAGAGCAATGAATACATACCTATGGCCAGGTGGTGATCAATACCTTTGAGAAATTGAGGGCAAGTGTGGAGGATGGAGAACAACAGGGCAGGAGCTGAGAGAATCAGAGACCACCTGTCTGAGCAGATGCCAGGTGAGCCTCACGGGGTGAAGCGAGTGAGTGATCACATTGATAGACGGGCTAGAGTCCCAGGATGAAAGGATCCTAGTTGCGAGCCCTGCTGGGTGGTTGCAGGAACAGCAGGGTTAGGTGGCAAGAATAGAGTGGGGGGATTGAGAGGGCGGAACATGAGATCAGAAAGAGACCCAGAGACGAGTTCCCGCAAAACTTTTTGCTGTGCCTAGAGAATGAGCGATGCTTAGTCAGTCGTCTGGGAGCCCTGATGGGGACAGGTTCCACGCTGGGCTGCTAACGGTAAGGTCAGGGATCAGAAACCACCAGCCACTCCTCAAGTGAAAGTTGAGGCTTTCCACCCCCGGAAAGAGTTACAGTCTGGGACTGTACACAGGGTAGTTCTGCCCTGCCCTTCAAGGGTCGCTAGGAGTCGGCATTGACTTGATGGCAGTGAGTGTGGCCTTGGTGTGCATCCGTCGTCTGTCTGCTTTGCCTCTGCCGCTGAGGTCTTGACTCCACCTTTCTGTACATACTGTTGCCCTTTGCTGGAACACTTGTCTCTCTTCACAGTAATTTCATTTATTTTCAAGGTAATTTCAAATCACTTCTCACTGACCTGTAATTCAGAAATGTTCACATTTCCTAAGTGTACGGTTGGAATGCATACAAAATGGAATTCACTCATGGAATCAATACCCAGACCAAGAAAAATTACTCTTCAAAAATCCCTACTTCAGTCACTACTGCATCACACACAGAAGAAGCCACTGTCCTGATTTGCTGCGACTTAGACCAGTCTTGTCAAGAGAGTGCTTGTCGATTTTTGTCTGGTTGAACCGGAGGAAAGTGCGTATTTCAGTGTATGTGAGGCGGTTTGTGGTAGAATTTTGAAATCATCTCATCTCGTTTTAGGTACATTCGATCCTCTGATGTTAGTGTTTCTTGCTTTCTCTTTGGCCACCCTGGAACATTTTCCAGAAGAACTGATAAAGGCAATTTTTAACATCAAATTCTTATCCAAATTGGACTACCAACTTGAATGTATGTATCTATATTTTAATTTATGGTTGTAATAAATTATTTGTACTTTATATCTGTTTTAGTGCTCCTATTCTGAAACATTTAAATACTCATAGAATTTCCCCCCATATTTATAGAAGTGTTTCATGGTTATTTGTGAAAAATTTTGAAAGTATAGACAAGTACGAAATTGAGAATGAAAAGCCTCCTTCTGATCTTATCACCCAATAGAAAACACTGCTACTGTTTTGGAGTATATCTTTTCTGTATCTCTCCAACTCGTATATGTAAGTTATAAATATCTAGATTTGTTTTGAAGCAGCATTTAGATTTATGTTCACTTTATGTGCTACTTTTTAATTTTAATAGTTTTATTAGAACATAATATATGCTATTTTTAAAACCTAACTATATTATGAATGATTTTCCATGCCATTAAGAAAGTTGAAAATGAGGAGCTGATACCAAGGGCTCAAGTAGGAAACAGATGTTCTGAGAATGATGATGGCAACAAATGTACAAATGTGCTTGATGCAAGGGATGTATGTATGGATTGTGATAAGATTTGTATGAGCCCCCAATAAAATGATTTAAAAAAAAGTTTGAAAACAAAAAAAGTTTGATACCATTTTTTTATTGTAATAACAAGGGGGCTTAAAAATATTTCATTTTCCACTAACACGGAAGTGTGCTCCTATGCTATTTCATGGACTTAATACAAGTTATCACGGAGCCCTAGTGATGTAGTGGTTGTGTGTTGGATCGCAATGCGCATGGTGGACAGTTCAAAAGCCCCAGCAGCTCAGCAGGAGAAAGACTGGGCTTTCTACTCTTGTGAACAGTTAGTCTCGAACCCCCACAGGGGCCACTGTGAGTCCAACTTGACTGGAGGGCAACGAGTGAGATTATGTTGTAGGTTGTTTTCAGTTCTTCACAACTGTAAATAATGAATCGTTACATGTAAATCAGTGACTTATTCTGTGATTGCTCCTTAAGATCGATTCCAAAGTGTGGAATTTTTAGGCCAATGGAAAAAAATGACAGATTTTTTTAAATGTAGGTTTGATATTCATAACTAAGGAAAATCATGTGGGAATTAGCCCTAATGATGCCCTTCAGTGTAACAATTTTAAAACACAAAGGGTGTGACTGTAACTGAAATGATTTTAAGAGACTGAGAGGATCAGCCAGTAGTAGGGATAAATGATATGAGAAATCACGGGTTATCCTTGCTACGACTACCTTCAAAAATCAGACACGTAACCTTCTACTTTTCATTTCAGTCTTACCTTCATCTCTAAACTTGAGGGTGCAGTTACGGCTGATGGAGTTAAATCGAGCGGTCTGCTTGGAATGCCCTGAGTTTCAGATCCCATGGTTTCACGACCGTTTCTGCCAGCAGCTGCATAATAAAGGTTTGCATTTTCTTTGGGCCAGAGAGTAGAGTTTAAGTATAAAGTCGATGAGTAGGTAATAATGTAAATAAAAATTGACCCAAGGCCGATTCCCTAAGTGGGAAGGTAAGTTACATCCCTGCTTTTTCACTTCTCTATCTCTGACTCCCAAGTGGTCCTTTCTCCCTTTTGCCCCAACCACCAAAACTGCCTCCCCATCTCTTCCCTGCCCACCTGCCACCCAGCGCTGGTTCCTCACAAGCTAGACTCTGTTCCTTCAGTCAACTGCCAGCCGCTGCTGGCCTTCCCTGGTGGGTTTGATACTCACAGACTGACTCACACAATTCACAGAGACTATCTGTACGTATAGTGAGTGACCCATGTATTATAAGCAGAAAGGCTACAATCGGAGATGCCAGGCAAGGTTGGGAGAGGTCTTAGCAGGGGCTTCCCTTATCTCTAGGGACAGATAGTCCCCTGGCCTGTGGACAGATGTTCTCATCAGCCAAGGTCCCTAGTCATTGCTACCTCTGCATACACGTGAACCTGTAAATAGACATGACTTAGGGAACATGCAAATGACTGCATCTTGCCCACTTCCCTTCCTGAATGAGTTGGCCAGGTGTGGGTTCTGCCTGCCCTAGGAGCCTGGCTATTTTAGAAAGATAAAGAACATCCTAATTGCTCAGGCTTTTTTTAGAAACCAGATGCAAAAGGCCAAAATTAGTTCTTTGTCCTACATTTGCTACTGTCAAACCTGAATAATACATTTGAATTTCTTAGAGTGGAATGGTGTTTGTTAGTGGAACCATTTTGTAGATGAGCTTTGTAGTATAAATATTTCTTAAGACAAATTTATTTTTTCTGGCACCAAACAAACCTCTTTTGGTAAAGAGCAAAGAACTTGTATTGAATTTAGTGTCATGGTAGAGATTACAATAAGGGTCTTATTTATTTTAACAAGATCTCAAAGATAATTCGAGGATTAATTTTTATCTCAGTGTTGAAATAAGTTGAGAAGCTATTCATTATGCAATATGGGTTGTTGGAAATACTAGTGTATTTTTATACACATAGTGTGCATGTAAAGTCTTGAAAAACAACTCAACCCCCTTATGCATTAGTTTTCTATATGTGCTTTGTGTGTTACAGGTATGTGCATGCATGTTATTTATGTAGGCACGTTATATGCTAAAAATATGTAATAGTCTTTATCACTTTGTAAATTGGAATTATTTTAATTTTCTAAAACTGGTAAACTTATTTTAAATGAATGACTTATTTTTATTCTCAAAGATTCTGGAAGCATCAATGGAGCACAACACCAGATGTATAATATGCTTGCAGAAGTACTAGGGGGAATCAATTGTGTAAAAGCCTCGGTTCCTACACCTTATTACTACACATTACGTAAGTCATTGGTTGGTTACTGGATACTTTCAGAAGACTAAACTTGAATAGAATCATCTCCTTAGTTGGAACTTAAAATAGAAGTTGATTGTATTTTTTAATTGTGTTCCTAGGTTTTTGTTTAGTCACTTGATTCTTCCAGAGTTTTCATGAGTTCTTCTCAGGTTTTTTTCTGTAGTTTCCTTCCCTCTTTCTCTCCATTTTTTGAAGTCTAAATACCATTCTTTTTAATTCCTTATCAAATAGGTGAATGCATTTTTCTTTTTAAAATAACTTTGGCATACACGTATCATATAAGTTATTCAGTCCTATTATTTGTGCCGTCTTCATCACCATCACTCTGAGAACATTTTCTTCTGACACTCATTGTCATTAGCTCCCCACTTTCCCTATCCTCTACTGCCATGGCCCTGGGTGATCACCAATCCAGTACTGTCTCTAGAGAGCTACCCATACTGGCTTTCACATACAGGAAATCATATAAAGCAAACGAACCCCACCACAGCCAAGGAATGCGTGTTCTTGAGAGAGGTCTTCTGGCTCTGTCGACCAGTCATTGCTCAAGCCACTCTGTCTTGAACCTTTGTTCGAACAGAAATTGTCCGTTGTCTCTGAGACGTTGTGGTGATGTATTTGTATTTCATTGACGATTATATGTTGGTGAGACCTTACCACTCACCGCCTGCTCAGTGTAACAGAGATATGAGTGTGTGTGAGTTATTTGCTTGCTGTTTGTATAGCACAGTTGAAGGTAGCTTTGGCTGATGTTTTGGTATCTCTTGTTAACCAGATGGTACAGCAGTGGGTAGTGGCCCTCACCCAGTCGGTAGAGCTGCAGGATCTACCGGTGTGCCTAGGTGGTATGGGCATAGTTCCTGTCTCCAGGTGGTTGGGACAAAGAAGGGAGGAAAGATAGCCAATGAGGACAAGTCCTTACAGATGAAACTCAAAGAATACAGTGTTGGGGTACAACAAAATAGCTCTGTAGAAGCGAGGATGGCAAGACTTTGTCTTACATACTGTGAGTGTGTTAACCAGTGGGAGAAGGATATTCTGAGTAAAGTAAAGGATCAGACAGGAAGAGGAAAACGCTTCAGGAGATGGATGGAAATCGTGACTGTAACCATGGCTCAGACGTGGTTAGGAGAAGGCGCGGGACCAGGCAGGGTTGCATTTGCTCCAAGTGTTGCTATGCGTCAGAAGGGTGCGACGTCATTTTGATTCCATATAATCAAAGTCCACACTTGCTGCCATCGGGTGGAAGCCTACTCGGCGACCTGGTTGGACAGGGTAGAACTGCCCCTGTGGGGTTCCGAGAAGATTACCCTTCTGGGAGTAGAAATCCTTGTCTTTCTCCCTAAGAGTGGCTGGTGTTTTGAACTGTTTATCTTGCAGTTAGCAGCCCAACTTGTAATCAGGGTCCTCTTGATCCCACATAGATCACTCTTAGTGAGCTTACCCCCCATAGCAGACCCCCCGCCCCCCCCTCTTTTTTTTTTAACTAGCCAAGCAAGTTAAGCTAAATGATTGTTTGGTTTTGAGAGCACTTTATGGGATAATTTTGGATTAGGTTTTAAAGATTATTTTAGCACAATTGTTTCCACAGCTCTATTTACTTTCATTTTTAATATATAAAACTTTTACCTAGAACAAAACAATCTAGTCATTGTGAATGAGGGGGGAGTGCAGATTGAGGACCCAAGACCCATCTGTAGGCAACTGGACATCCATTACAGAAGGGTCACAGGGAGGAGATGAGCCAGTCAGGGTGCAGTGTAGCAATGATGAAACATACAACTTTCCGCTAGTTCCTAAATGCTTCCTCCCACCCCCCTATTATCATGATCCCAATTCTACCTTACAAATCTGGCTAGAGCAGAGGATGTACACTGGTACAGATAGGAACCGGAAACA